GTCCTCCAAAATACATCGTCACATACGGGCCCCCTTACAAACCTTCCCTATTCCCAAAGGACGTTTTCAAGTAGTACACCTCGACATCGTGGGACCTCTTCCATCATCCTACGGTAGCACCTACATCTTCACCTGCATCGACCGTTTCACCAGGTGGACAGAAGCAATTCCCATGCCCAACGCTACAGCAGAGACTACTGTCCGCGCCTTCATGTCCGGTTGGGTTTCCCGTTTTGGCCCCCCCGCAACCGTAATCACTGACCGAGGAGTACAGTTTGAGTCACAACTCTGGCAGCACCTCCTACAGTTCCTCGGCACGTCTAGACAACGCACTACAGCATACCACCCTCAAGCCAACGGCATGGTAGAGCGTTTTCACCGGCAGCTGAAGGACGCACTCAAGGCACAGCACGACCCTTACAGCTGGACTGATGCGCTTCCCTTAGTGCTCCTCGGCATCCGTGCGTCACACAAGGAGGATATGGACTGTAGCCCAGCAGATCTGACACTAGGCGAGCCCCTTCGGCTACCCGGGGATTTCTCACTCCCTCCTGATCCCAACCAAACCACTCCAGCCGTTCGTCACGACTTACTCCAAAAGCTACGACAAGCAGTTTCTGCATTCAGAGCTACTGCTCCACGCCAGTCTACTCAGCGCCCTGAACACATCCCTCCTGCACTACTCCCAGCCGAGTATGTTTTCGTCAGGCATGATGCTCACCGCAACCCATTACAACGCCCCTACGATGGACCCTTCCAGGTGGTTACCCGTTCAGCAAAGTTCCTGACAATTATCCGGAATGGCACACATGACACCGTCAGCATAGACCGAGTCAAACCGGCCGCCTTACCCGTCGGGCCCCCAGCCCAGCAGCACCATCAACAAACTACGCCTACACCAGTCTTCCCGCAGTTACCACCGGCAGCAACACCATGTCCACGACATTTCTGGGCACCCTCTTTTCACCCTCATGTACAACCTGCTCCTGTCATAGACCTCCCTTCTATCATAGAACCTGCTCCTGTCATAGACCCTCCTCCTGTCATAGAACCTGAACCTGTAATAGACCTCCCTTCTATCATAGAACCTGCTCCTGCCATGTACCCTCCTCCTGACGCAGCCCCTGCAGCAGCAGGAGCACAACAACCATTGCTTGTACAACCTCCTCTAATCCCAAACCCTCTTTCTCCTCCTAATTCTCCCACAGGTTTTGTGTCACTCGACGGAGTTGTTACACGTAGCGGTCGAGTCGTACATACACCTGCCCGGTATGTGTTATGTGTGGGACACAACCCGGACAACATCCAGCCTCCCGCCGCGCCGGGAGGGGAGGCGGAGTATTGTAGTGGATGTCTCCCCTACAACTGCGTATCCGCATTCCGATGCGCCGCCGTAACCTAGCAACGGAACTAGAGACCGGCGACTTTCTCGGGTTTTCCCAACATGACTCATAGAGGACTCGCGGCTGCTGGGTATATAAGCTCTGTCTCTCCATTGAGATTCATTCTGGTCTCTCTTCTTGAACACGCAACACCTCCTCCAGCAAGCTCCACGCTGTCAGCATTCATTCAACCAGGGGGCCAGCAACAGGCAACATCTTCTCTAACGAAGCTCCTGCACATCTACCTCCTTCAACACGCTACTCACCGAACGTCTCTACTGAGCAGCTCCTCACCACACGGCACCTCCAGCACCAGACTGTCTATCATATAACTTATATTATACAAGAAAACCACATTAGAGTTTCCATCCATCCTGAGTGCTAGACAACATTATACCACGAATACCTACATGCTTATACAACCTCAACTAGGTCCCCCCTTGCCCGTCTGTAGTATAAGCTAGGCAAGTTCAGGCGCTCCAATCTCTCAGGGTAGCTGAGGTGCTGAAGTGCAGGCACCAGTCTGGTGGCCCTCCTTTGAACATTTTCAACCAACTGACAGTCCCTAGCATATCTCGGGGACCAGACAGGGTGACAGTACTCCAGATGGGGAAGCACTTCACTCCTGAAGATCATTACGAGGGACGGACCATCTAGATATCTGAACGACCTTCTTATAAGACCCAATAATTTATTAATAATAATTCCCCACTTCCTCAGGGCACGTGCCTCGCGTGGCACCTGAAAACAAAATGAAGGCATTTACATAATTCGAGACCAGGTTCTGATCATCTCTGGTAAATTAGATCGTTATTTGTGTCAAAGGTGATAAAGTTGAGATATTATAATCACCAGATAATTTTAATTTTATTTCAGAAATTAATGGTAAATATGATATATTTTTGTTTACTATATCAGCAATTATAAGAATCTGTAATCAAGCACTCTGCAGTTATCTCAGTTATCGAGAATGAAGGTTACAGGTTATAGAGTACAGTAAAGTATATATAATACTTTACGTAATTCAGGGAACGTGGTGATTAATGGCACGAAATTGTCATGTGTACTCGTCACAAGCGAGGCATCACAGGGCAGTGCATTGGGCCCGCTGTTGTTTGTTTGTTTCATAAGACACGCCTCCCCACCACCCTCTCCTCCCCACCACCCTCTCCTCCCCACCACCCTCTCCTCCCCACCACCCTCTCCTCCCCGCCACCTGCTCCTCCCCACCACCTTCTACCCCCAGCATCCTCTCCTCCCCACCACCGCTCTTCCTCCACCACCGCTCCTCCCCACCATCCTCCTCCTCCCCATCCTCCTCCCCCACCATCCTCCTCCTCCCCACCACCCTCTCCTCCCAACTACCTCTCCTCACCACCACCCTCCTCCCCACCACCCGCTCCTCCCCACCACCCTCCCCACCACCTTCTCCTCCCCACCATCCCTCCTCCCCACCACCGCTCCTCCCCACCACCCTCTCCCCACCACCTTCTCCCCACCACCCGCTCCTCTCCACCACCTTCTCCTCCCCACCACCCTCTCCTCCACCACCCTCTCCCCCTCCACCTTCTCCCCACCACCCGCTCCTCTCCAGCTCCTACTACCACCTGAGATCCCCAGCCCGAGAATTGCTGTTCGACACCACAACCGCATCCAGCCCATACGTGCACGAACTGATCACTATAAGAACAGCCCAGTCCCAACCATTGTAAAAATTATCAATAACTTGTAATAAACCAGTGTATTCACTCCCAGTAAACACTACTTCTTGCACTGTCACTATGTTGAAATGCCCTGTAGTTTGAGCTTTTCCCCATCTAGTTATTATATGTCTTATTTGTATCACTTATGTTACTTGTATATTATTTGTAATTCGAAACCCATTCCCCAAATATGTAACTGTATATTTTCAGCCTTCTGGCTGCCAAGCTCTTTCAATAAACCGTTAATTATTATTATTATTATTATTATTACCACCCCATCCTCCCCACCACCCTCTCCTCTACCACCCTCTCCTCCACCACCCTCTCTTCCTCTACCACCCCCTCCTCCCCACCACCCGCTCCTCTCCACCACCTTCTCCTCCCCCACCACCCTCTCCTCCACCGCCCTCTCCCCCACCACCTTCTCCCCACCACCCCTCCTCTCCACCACCTTCTCCTCCCCACCACCCGCTCCTCTCCACCACCTTCTCCTTCCCACCATCCGCTCCTCTCCACCACCCTCTCCCCACCACCATCTCCCCACCACCCGCTCCTCTCCACCACCTTCTCCTCCCTACCACCCGCTCCTCTCCACCACCTCCTCCTCCCCACCACCCTCTCCTCCACCACCCTCTCTTCCTCCACCATTCTCCCTCCCAGGCACCTCACTTAAGGTTCTTGTTCTTAAGGCAGCAGACGGTCGGTCAGTTCTCTGGTGACAGGTACTGAGGCTCGTGACTGTTATAATAAACATGCATCAGTTTTGGTCTGACTTGGGTAGACAAAAAAAGTTCATAGTTAGTGTCGTCACAATGCTCGATGGTGTATCAGTCTATCTGTTCAAAAATCTTATTCTAAAGAAGTTTGTTGCGTATTTTTCTCTGTGGGGATCTACCTATACACACACAGGACAGGATGTAATAAATAAAGTGTCTGGCCAGTCGACGTACTGTACTGTACACTGTTCTTATACCTGTATTATCTTTGTACACTTTTGTATATCGGCCACAGTCTTTGTACATACACGCTTAATCAATGTGAATTAATATGATGATTTTATTGAGTATAATGTCCGTCCATCTACGTATTCATCTGTAGTGTTTCACAACGCCGTGCATTATTACACAGTGAACGTATATCTTCCTTGCTTGATATCTAACAAATAATTATTATATGCTTCCTATTTTGAAGATCATCTGAAAATTCTAAGGTGTAGTATCAATAGGTGGATTAGGTTAAGTTACAAGTTAGGTTAGGTTAAATTAGGTTATAAGTTAGGTCAGGTTAGCTTAGGTTAGGTTAGGTTTGATTAGGTAAGGTTAGGTTAGATTCACGCAATTACTTTATGTAGATTAGACATTCCAGTTTATGTCACCTGAAGACTAACCTAAAAAAGTTTGACCTAACCTGACCTACTCTAACCTCACCTAACCTGACCTAACCTTAACTAACACAGTACATTAGCATACAATCCATTTACCTCGTATACACGCTTCGCTTATCAGCATCACGTGTTATCAGAGTATTGTGTGTGTGTGTGTGTGTGTGTGTGTGTGTGTGTGTGTGTGTGTGTGTGTGTGTGTGTGTGTGTGTGTGTGTGTGTGTGTGTGTGTGTGCTCTTGCGTGTTTGGTTGGATATGTGTTCGTGTGTTGTGTGTCTGTGTGCTGTGTACCTGTAGTTGTATGTGCGTCTGAGTATAAGTTGTGTGTTCGTGTGCCTCTCTTTAAATACAAGCCAATGAGTGTGTGTTTACGTGTATAACAAGCACGTATGTGTCTGTGTGTAAGAGTGAGCAAAATATACATGAAACCTACAGTAGACAGTGTTGTATCATATCAGTACGCCGCCGCCCCACCCCACCCCCCAGCCCCACACGAGGCAGCGCTTATCTTATCTGAGTCTCGTTGTTGATAACCTACATCCTCTGGCCGGATCAGTTTCGCTGCTCACCAATGCAGCGACCACATATACCTGTACAGTGACTTCCACACCTGTGATTCTGTGTCCATCAGCCATCCTCTCGTCCCTACAGTTGCCTCCTCCACCTGTCGTCACCATCTTAGTGTGAGGATAAGTGAAAATTTTTCCCCTCTAATCTTAATTCTGAAAGTTTTTATATCTTATTCCCGCCAGCAATGGTTTGTAGAAGAGATAAGAGTCTAGTTCGTAATCTCCCCGCACAGGAATACAGAGATATTTGGACCTGAAGGTAAGGATTACCTTTTTCCCTTGTTGTGTGTATGGCGGGAGTGTGGTGGGGAAAAGTCATTGCTATATTATAAGTTATAAGATTACATTAGAACATAAGAACATAAGAATGGAGGAAACTGCAGCGGGCCTATTGGCCCATACTGGGCAGTCCCGTTTCACCCAACCCCTATTGCTCATATAAGCATCCAACCTATGTTTGAAGCTATCCAGCGTATTCGAGTTAATGATGATATTTGGTAACTTGTTCCATTCATCCACTACTCTGTTTCCAAACCAGTGTTTACCTACTTCACGCCTAAATCTAAATTTGTCTAATTTAAAACCATTGTTACGAGTTTGCTCGTGGTTGGATAGTTTGAGTACCTTTGTAATGTCCCCTTTGTTTAGACCTGACTTCCACTTATACACCTCTATCAGGTCACCCCTCGCTCTACGTCTCTAGAGGGAGTGCAAATTAAGATACTTTAACCTGTCTCTATACTCAAGGTTCCTAATGCCCGGGATTAATCTTGTCATTCTCCTCTGAATTCTTTCCAAGAATTCTATATCCATTCTGTAATACGGTGACCAGAACTGAACTGAGTAATCCAGGTGTGGTCTCACAAGCCCAAGATACAATTTTAGGATGACCTAGCTAGTCTTGTAACTAACACTCCTTTGCATGAACCCAAGTACTTTATTAGCCTTGTTATGAGCAAAAACACATTGTTTACTTGGCTTAAGGTTCCTACTTATCATTACTCCTAAATCTCTCTCGCAGTCGTATTTCTCTATGACATCGTTGTTCATCTGGTATCTGGTTTCCCTGTTTACATCTCCTATACTGAGTACTTTACATTTGTCCAAGTTGAATTTCATCTGCCATTTTTCAGATCATTCGAAAAATTTGTTTAGATCTTCCTGTAGTTTTACTGAGTCCTCGTCAGATTTAATAACACGTCCTATTTTAGTGTCATCAGCAAATTTACTTATGTTGCTGTCTATGCCGATATCTATGTCGTTTATGTATATAATAAATAATAATGGTCCAAGTACTGAGCCTTGGGGAACTCCACTTGTGACATTGCTCCAATGGGACTTAGTGCCGTTAATGCTCACTAGCTGTTTCCTGTCCTGTAACCATGCCCTAATCTATTTAAGGATGTTACCTTTGATGCCATGTGCTTCTACCTTTCTAATTAGTCTTTCGTGGGGGACTCTGTCGAAGGCTTTGTTAAAGTCGAGATATACCACATCATAATTGTGCCCCTCGTCCACCGATTCGAAAACTGATGAAAAGAATGTTAATAGATTAGTTAGACAAGAACGTCCGCTTGTGAAGCCATGCTGGGAATCATTGATCAATAGGTGCTTCTCCAGGTGATTTTGAATAGAGTTTGAAATGATTGCTTCCAGTAATTTGCCTACTATTGATGTTAGACTGATTGGGCGGTAGTTAGAGGATAGTGATCTATCCCCCTTCTTGAAAATCGGTATTACATTCGCTATCCTCCAGGATTCTGGTACTACACCTGTTTTTAAGGACATGTTAAACAACTTTGCTAAGGGCATACTAAGCTCTTCCTTACATTCCCTGAATACTCTGGCAAATATCTCATCGGGACCAGGTGACTTATTAGGCTTTAGTTTGTCTATTTGCTTACTAACATCGTTACTAGTCACTACTATCTCGCTTAATTTGTTTTCTTCACTATCTCTGAATAGAGCCGGTGCCCCGGGTATCATGTTTAAATTTTCGGTGGTGAAAACTGTTGAAAAATATTTATTCAAATTATTGCTCATTTCTCTGTCGTTATCAGTGAGCTCGCCGGTATCTGACTGTATTGGTCCAATCTTTTCTCGTGTTTTAGCTTGATACATTTGGTAGAATCCTTTGGGGTTTGTCTTCGCCTCCCTTGCTATCCTTACCTCATTATTCCTCTTGGCTTTCCTTATCTCGGTTTTAACCCTACTCGCCAATATCTTATAATAATCCTGGAGGTAAATTTCGCCACGCTTTATCCTTCTACCTATAGCCTTCCTTTGGCCAATGATGTTCTTTAAATAATTATTTATCCATTTAGGGTCATTGTTGTCTGATCTGAGTTTTTTGTATGGTATGTTCTGCCTTTGTGCATTAAGTAACTCATTATTTAAATTGTCGTGGAACTCGGCAATCTCAGATCTCGTTATCAGGTCGGAGTCATCTGTCAGATTCACGGCCAAGCGCGACACCCCCTCTCTCAGCTGCCTCTTTAAACTGTCAAAGTTTGCCCTTCTGAAATCTGGTACTTTCGTGGAATTTTCCTTACGTTTGCCCTGAAAATCTAACTGGAATCTAATTTCTTTGTGATCGCTGTTTGCAAGTTCTTTCCCTACCTTGACATTGCTAATGAGGTTTTCTCTGTTTGACCGAACTAAATCGAGTATATTATTACCCCGGGTGGGTTCTGTTATATGTTGACTTAGAAAACAGTCCTGGATCGTCTCGAGAAAATCCTCTGATTCTGAGTTACCCGTAAGGTCAGTCCAATCTATTTGGCCAAGGTTAATGTCGCCTACTATACAGAACTTTGCTGTGTATGGAAGCCCTGCACATTTCATCCCAGATAAGTCGCTCATTGACTCTATCAAGATTGGGAGGTCTATATATTACTCCTGTGATTAATTTTTCCCTACCGTCGATTAATTCTATCCAAATTGTTTCTGTATTCCGCTCAGTTTTTATTTCTTTATTTATTTCACACTTCAGATTATCCCTAACATCGATTGCTACTCCGCCTCCTTTCCTGGTCTGCTTATCCGTATGGAACAGTTTGTAACCCGCAATTTGGTACTCGATCGGCGACTCACGTGAGTCTAGGTTGATCCATGTTTCAGTGAATGCTATTATATCGATTTTTTTCGGTACATACCAAGGCCCTAATATCATCCATTTTGTTTCTCATACTTCTACTGTTCGCATAGTAGGCATTTAAGTTAGTCGTGTTCTGAGTCCTCCCTTTACACTAGTGATTTCCGATAGATGTAAAGGTCTAAATCGTTCATAACACATCGCAAATCATCAGAAAAAAAAATCATAGTCTGCCTGTCTAAGTCCAGGGATGACCAAAACTTAAAATTTACCCAATATAGCCTATCTCGAATCTAAGCTTCCAAATACTTATGGTAGTTATACAATTTTACCCATTAATTAATATAAATGGTTCATTAGTGAATCATCAAAACAATAACAGCACTATGTTGTCATGTTTACCTGGCATCAGGCATTCTCAAAACAAAGTCCAGACAATGTCATTACTTCTAAATTGACTCGTATCTTCATCTAGTACTGATATACTCTGTAAATACTGAAAAAAAAGAGAAAGTCTACCGGGTAAGAATACATGACAGCTGAGCTTGTGTGAGCATGGGAGCTTTTTATGTCCATAAGAACATAATAATGGAGGAAACTGCAGCGGGCCTATTGGCCCATGCTGGGCAGTCCCGTTTACACTCCACCCCTATTGCTCATATATATATCCACCCAACCTATGTTTGAAACAGCTTTCACGGCACATTTCTTCACTTACGGAATGTCCATGACTTAGACCATAAAATAAAACTTACCTGAACGTGGCATTTGGGGTCTAAAGAGGCCACCTTTGTACTACCTAGGACCGCCGCTGTGAGTGTGATAGAGCGGCGTCTGCTGGGAAACTGGTGAGAAATAAAATTACCTCGACTATTATAGCAGGACTTTAAACTTTTATTACAAATTATATATACCGTATCACTCTACGAACGTGGTGGAGTGTATTTCTTGTATTTACCCAGAACCGTCAACTCGTCCATTGTTGTGATTAATATAAAGTGAGAAGACTAAGGAATTGTACACTGGTAGTGTACAAAGTGTGGAGTCAAGCTGTGAAGACATTACCCTGTTAACGTGTTGTGAAGAATCAGTGATTATTAAAGAGGACCACAGTGCACAATTGTGTTTCTGTGACCTGGTGTAAATCTACCAGCCTGTTGGTTGTCTGCACAATGATACCGATCGTCAGGAAATTACCGGAGACTGGAGGGACAGCCAGTGGTAATTCGACAACTCTTGTAAGATATCTACTGCTTCTGTACATACGGCCCTGGCCGCTAGTAACCAGTGGTGGACGCTGGGTAAGGGGTGAAAGGAGGAGGGTCGTAACAATATAATAGTTTACCTTGTTCTACTTAGAAGTAAACAATTTACAATATTTCACATAAGTTAAACAAAGGAAAGTATATAATAACGTAGGTATACATTTTACTTGGGACTATTCGATCACATTGTATATTGACCAAGGGAATGTGTTGTTTTTTGTCACTTTTAGTAACTGGCAAATATCGGCAATATTTATATAAATATTTTTTTAAATTTTCTACTACGTGATTCTTGACCTTATCACCAGCCTACTACTACTACTACTACAGCATTCTTCCTTCTACAGGAGTGTGTCGTTGGGTAAGGACTCGGGAGATGGTAAGTGTGTGGAGATGTGTGGGCGTGGTGTGGGTGGTGTGGGTTGCTACGTGTCGGGGGTTCTTGTGGGGCGAGAGTGAGGAGGTGGATCTGTGTGCTGAGGTGTGTCATTGTCCAGAACATCTCACCCACAAACACAAGATTCCCATCAACTGTCGGGACGCTAACATCACCCTCCTCCCAGGTGAGTGTGACCAGCCCTCGAGTTGAATAGATAGATAGATAGATAGATCCAATAAAATCGCCATACAAGTTCATATTGATTTAACATGCGCATATATACAAACTAAACATATATAATGTAAGTACAAACAATGTACAGTACATACTGTAGACAGTGCAGGTATACAAACAATGTACATAGACAGTGCAGGTATACAATGTACATAGACAGTACAGGTATACAAACAATGTACATAGACAGTGCAGGTATACAATGTACATAGACAGTGCAGGTATACAATGTACATAGACAGTGCAGGTATACAAACAGTGTACATAGACAGTACAGGTATACAAACAATGTACATAGACAGTACAGGTATACAAACAGTGTACATAGACAGTACAGGTATACAAACAGTGTACATAGACAGTGCAGGTATACAATGTACATAGACAGTGCAGGTATACAAACAATGTGCATAGACAGTACAGGTATACAGTACAATGTGCATAGACGGTGCAGGTATACAAACAATGTGCATAGACGGTGCTGGTATACAATGTGCATAGACAGTACAGGTTTACAATGTACATAGACAGTGCAGGTATACAAACAATGTACATAGACAGTGCAGGTATACAATGTGCATAGACAGTACAGGTATACAAACAATGTACATAGATTGTGCAGGTATACAAAACAATGTATATAGATGGTATATATACAAACAATGTACATAAGACAGTACAGGTATACAAACAGTGTACATAGACAGAAGAGGTATACAAATAATGTACATAGACAGTACAGGTATACAAACAAATGCAAGTAGAAAGAGTGCAGGCATAAACAATGTACATACACAGTGCAGGTATGTTGAATGTACACAGACAGTGCAGGTATACAAAACAATGTAATATAGACAGTAATAGACAAACAATGTACATAGACAGTACAGGTATACAATGTAAATATAGACAGTGTAGGTGATACAAACAATGTACATAGACAGTATACAAACAATGTACATAGACAGCAGGTATGCCAAACAATGTACATAGACAGTGTAAGGTATACAATGTACATAGACAGTGAGGTATACAATGCACAGAGACAGTGCAGGTATACAAACAGCACATAGACAGTACAGTATACAAACAATGCACATAGACAGTATTATAAGTATACAAATGTACACAGATTAAGTACAGGTATAACAAAACTAATGTACACAGACAGTGGCGCATACAATGTACATAGATTAAAGAGGCATACAATGCAACATAGACAGTATATACAAATGAAAGTGTGTGTTGAGCAGACAGTACAGGTATACAACAATGTGTACATAGACAGTAATAGGTATACAAATGTATACAGACAGTACAGGTATACAAATGTACATAGACAGTATATAATGTACATAGACAGTAGGTATATAAACAATGTACATAGACAGTACAGGTATACAAAACAGTACATAGACAGCATATAGTATACAAAACAATGTACATAGACAGTGTATACAAACACGTATAGATAGTGTAGGTATACAACAATGGCAGATAGTGCAGGTATAAACAATGTACATAGACAGCAGAGGTATACAAACAATGTACATAGACAGTGCAGGTATACAAACAATGTACATAGACATGCAGGCATGACAAATTAAATGCAATACAGACAGTACAGGTATACAAACAGTGTACATAGACAGCAATATAGATACAAACAATGTAATATAGACAAAGGTATACAAACAATGTACATAGAGAGTGCAGGTATACAAACAATGTACATATACAGTGTAAGGTATACAAACAATGTACATAGACAGTGCAGGTATACAAACAATGTAATATAGACAGCAGGTATACAAACAATGCACATAGACAGTACAGGTATAATGTACATAGATGTGTATACAAACAATGTACATAGACAGTGCAGGTATACAAACAATGTACATAGACAGTACAGGGCAAACAATGTACATAGACAGAGGCAAACAATGTACATAGACAGTGCAGGTATACAAACAATGTGAAGAAGGAAGACAGTGCAGACACAAACAATGCACATAGACAGTGCAGGTATACAATGCATATAGAGTGATGTGGGCCAAACAATGCACATAGACAGCAGGTATACAAACAACACATAGACTGGTGAGACACAATGCATGAAGAAGACAGGTATACAAACAACACATAGACAGTAGGTATGGGGCTAAACAATGTACATATACAGTGCAGGTAGTATACAACAATGTACATAGACAGTGCAGGTATACAAACAATGTACATAGATGTACAGGTATACAAACAATGCACATAGACAGTACAGGTATACAAACAATGTACATAGATAGCAGAGGTATAAATGTACACAGATGTACAGGCATACAAACAATGTACAGACAGTGCAGGTATACAACAATGTACATGGTAGGTATACAAACAATGTACATAGACAGTACAGGTATACAAACAATGTACATAGACAGTGTAGGGATAAACACGTACATAGATTGTGCAGGTATACAAAACAATGTACATAGACAGTATAAGAAGGACAAACAATGTAATATAGACAGTGTAGGTATACAAACAATGGGATATAGACAGAGTAAGGGTATACAAACAAGTACATGATTGTGCAGGCATAATAAAAATGTACATAGACAGCAGGCATGTACAAACAATGTACAGACAGTGCAGGTATACAATGTACATAGACAGTACAGGTTACATGTACATAGACAGTAGGTATACAAACAATGTACATAGACAGTGCAGGTACAATGTACATAGACAGTGCAGGTATGTTAATGTACATAGACAGGTAAGCAATGGCATAGACAGTGCAGGTATAAACAATGTACATAGACAGCATAGGTATACAAACAATGTATATAGATGCACAGGTATACAAACAATGTATATAGATTGTGTGTAGGTATGGGGCAATGTACATAGACAGTGTATATACAAACAACAGCTATAGACAGCAGGCTTACAGTGTACATAGACAGGCATAGGTATACACAAATTAAATGTACATAGACAGTACAGGCTTCACAATGTAATACAGATTGGCAGGCATACAAACAATGTACAGACAGTGTAGCATACAAACAATGTACATAGACAAAGGGTATACAAAACAATGTACATAGACAGTATACAAACAATGTACATAGACAGGTATACAAACAATGTACATACAGACAGTGTAGGCATACAAACAATGTACATAGACAGTACAGGTATAAAATGTAATATAGACAGTGTAGGTATACAAACAATGTAACAGTGACAGTGCAGGTATACAAACAATGTAAATATAGACAGTAGGTATACAAACAATGTACATAGACAGTGTAGTGTTTACACAAACAATGTACATAGACAGTGCAGGCATGAACAACGGTACATAGACATGTAGGTATACAAACAATGTACATAGACAGTATATACAAACAATGTACAGACAGTGCAGGTATACAAATGAAAGGTACATAGACAGCAGGTATACAAACAATGTAATATAGACAGTAGGCTTGCTAAATGTACATAGACAAAAAGTAGTATACAAACAATGTGTACATAGACAGTAGGTATACAAACAATGCACATAGACAGTGCAGGCTTATAATGTATATAGACAGCAGGTATACAAACAATACAGACAGCAGGTATAAGCAAACAATGTACATAGACAGTATACAAACAGTACATAGACAGTAGGTATACAAACAGTACATAGACAAGGCTAGGATACAAAACAATGTACACAGGACAGTATATATACAAACAATGTACATAGACAGTACAGGTATACAAACAATGCAATACATAGACATGCAGGTATACAATGTACAGACAGTGCAGGTATACAAATAAATGTACATAGACAGTAGGTATAAAATGAAAGTAATATAGACAGTGCAGGTATAAACAGTACATAGACATTGCAGTATACAAACAAATGTACATAGACAGTACAGGTACATACACAAACAATGTATATAGGATAGCAGGTATACAAACAATGTACATAGACAGTAGGTATACAATGTACATAGACAGTATAAGATACAAACAATGCACATAGACAGAGTATAGTATACAAAACAATGCACATAGACAGTAGGTATACAAACAATGCACATAGACAGTGCAGGTATACAAACAATGTGTACATAGACAGTAGGTTTACAATGGGCAGACAGTGTATACAAACAATGAATATAGACAGTAGGTATACAAACAATGTACATAGATGCAGGTATACAATGTACACAGACAGTGTGTATACAAACAATGAATATAGACAGTGCAGTGTATACAAAACAATGCACACAGACAGTGCAGGCATACAACAATGTACATAGACAGTGGTATACAATGCACACAGATGCAGGTTTACAAACAATGTATATAGACAGTACAGGTTTACAATTGCACAGAGACAGTGCAGGCATACAATGTACAGACAGTGCAGGCATACAACGTACATAGACAGCAGGGGCATACAATGTACACAGACAGTGATAAGTTTACAATGTACATAAGATAGTAGGCATAATAATGTACATAGACAGCAGGTATACAAACAATGTATATAGACAGTACAGGCATACAAACAGTGTACATAGACAGTACAGGTATACAAACAATGTACATAGACAGTGCAGGTATACAAACAATGTACATAGACAGTGTATAGTATACAAACAATGTAATATATTAGTGCAGGTATACAAAACAATGTATAGACAGTAATAGGTATACAAAATGTACATAGACAGTGCAGGTATACAAACAATGTACATAGACAGTGTATGTATACAAACAATGTAAATATATAGACAGTACAGGTATACAAACAGTGTACAGACAGTACAGGTATACAAACAATGTACATAGACAGTACAGGTATGCAAACAATGCATATAGAGAGTGCAGGTATACAAACAATGATATATACAGTGCAGGTACAAACAATGTACA